CCTCCTCTTCGCCAAACTCTCTCTCTCTCTCTCTCTCTCTCTCTCTCTCTCTCTCTCTCGCCGCGCGCGTCTGCACTTGAAAAGCGCACGACACGGTTAGACGTCCGGCGCGTACGAACGAAGAGGCCCGTACGTCCGTGCCGTCCGTACGGAGATGCCCGTACGTACGCGGCGTGCGCTTACGAGCTGTCCGTGCGTGCGATCGTCGTCTGGCGCCGTCCTCGTCGCGTCGCCGTCGTCCTCACACTCTCTCTCTCTCTCTCTCTCTCTGTCTCTCTCTCTCTGTCTCTCTCTCTCTCTGTCTCTCTCTCTCTCTCTCTGTCCGTGTGTCGTCGTCAACAAACTCCACCTGCACTGTTGTGTGGGCGACAACACAAATGTGGGCGACAACACATACTGTGGGTGTTGACGCCCACAACCTCACTCATATACAGAAGTTGGCGGCCTCCTTCCCTCAAGGCCCACCGACTCCACGACATTTCCATTTATTTATTTTTTTGTGAAAAATAAAAAAAAACAAAAATGACTGCCCTCGTCCCAGTGGGGCTCAGCCTGCCAGCCAATGGCGTGGGCCAGGGCAGTTTCGGAGGGGCTGCCCTCCAAAAATGCCCAGGCCCTCGCCACTGACTGGCAGGCTAAGCCCTGCGGGGGCGCGGACAGTCATTTTCGTTTTTTTTTAACTTTTTTTATTTTTTACCAATTTATTTTTTTTTGAAAAATTTCCCAACCATACAGCAATGCCCCCCAACACCCATCCCCACACCCCAGGCCCTTGGAACCCCCCCATCACCCACCCTACGGCCCATGGCACGTTCGTACGGGGAGCGTCCGTACGCCCGTACGGGCGTCTGTACGTCCGTCCGTACGGCCTGTACGGGAACCCCCCGTACGACGTACGGGCGACGACACAGCCGGTGGGTCATCATGTGTGTGTGTGTGTGTATATGTATGTGTATGTGTGTGTGTGTGTGTGTGTGTGTGTGTGTGTGTGTGTGTGTGTGTGTGTGTGTGTGTGTGTGTGTGTGTGTGTGTGTTCGCAGCTAGGAGGCTGCGCTTGTGTGGGTTTCATTTTCGTCGTTTCATTTCTTTCTATTTTCGGTAAGGTCGTGCAGTACAACTTCGTTAGCATGGGTTCGTTTGTGGTCTCCGACAACAGAAAATAGGGTCCGGTCGCAGTCATCCCTAAGACCGGTCGTAGGGCAGGTTCTCTTGTCAAGGTCGTTGCAATTTAGTATAGGGCGTCGTCCATTGTTTCCCTTTTGAGGGATAAAGTTCTTTCCCCTTGCAAACTGGGGGCAAGCGATATGGGTCTGGGCGGGCAATTTGTGTCCGGGCCGTTTCGCTTTTGTTTTTTTCCTCTTCTACTGCATCTTCCCATAAATACAGTATCAAAGCATTCCTCTGTTTACTATGCCCAAATAACGAAATCTAAAATTGACTGCCCTGCCTCATTCGCAGGGCTTACTAAGAAAAGAAAAGGAAAACAAAACGTTGTCGGGACAGAAACCCCTGTAAGGATTTATGCCCGAGCCTTTTAAGGTCAGACGTTGTTTGGCTCTTTTCGTTGGATTTAAGGAAATGATGAGATTGATGTTGCCAAAGTTTATTCAGACCAACCCTATAATTGAGAAACCTAAACCCTCACATCGTTGACATATGACGTCGTTGACGTGTCACGTCATTGACGTTCGATCGGAACAGCAGGAGTCAGCGGTACGACTTGTCGTTTGCGGTTCCTGACAAGGCCGTAGGGGTGCGTGGTCATACTAAAGCTAGGCTTAGTCTACCTAAAATAAGGTAGCGGGCCTTAGTAGGCCAAATAGGTGCCCACACCATGTACGTGGCCACGACATGCGTACCGTGTTGCCAGATGGTCGCCGTATTGGCGGCAACGCGGCTGGCTAGCGGCTGGGGCTTCTGGGTTACTCGGGCGTAGCCTCCGTGAGGCCATATGTGATACCGCACTAAGCCAAACTCTTCATAAGGAAGAACTGATCCTCTTCCAATGTAGAATAGGAGCTAGCCTAGTAGGACATCATGTCAGACTTTCGTGCAGCAGATACTGGGATCAAGCCCGGTTGCACGCATCCTACTGGACCAGCTCTTTTTGGAGCGGCCCAACCTTTTTGACGCGGCCGTTTTCGACCATGTGATCGCTGAGATCGCACGACTGAAAACAGCCACGTGAAAGTCTGCATAGCCTTGCGCGAGGGTAATATACATGTGGTAGGGTTGCCCGTAGTACAGCCGTAGTAGGAGCGACCGATTTCGGCTACTCGATCAACGAGATCGCCCGACTGAAATCAGCCGCGCGTGGAGTTCAGCATGGCCCCTGCACAAAGATGACACACAAAATTCGGGTAAAGTCCCTCGGGACTCAAACACGGACCTATATTTCAACAGTCTGGGGGTTGGCTGCTCGTGGCTGAAAATCCACGAGATTTGACGTGCCCGTTGGCTTGGGCCAACAGGAAGAAAGAAGAAGGAAAAAAAAAAAAAAAAAAAAAAAACCCTAAGAACTAAAACTAAGACCAAGATGGAACGCCACATGGCACGCAAGGAACTGACTGGGGCGTTTTCAGCCCCAATGCACTTGACAATGCCTGAAACGACGGACGACTGTTCTGCATTGAGGTAAGCATTTTTTTTTTCTTCTTGTTTTTCCTTTCTAAGATTTTCATTAGATTTTCTTCTGAGATTTATTGGAGATTTTTTTTTAAGTTTTTTTTTTTAAATTCTTTGGACTTCTTTTTTTTGTGTTTTATTCGTTCGCAATTCTGCTAGACACCCGTTCGTTTTGATGAACGGGTTGCTGCTGAGGTGAGCAAAGGAAAATCAAATATATGTGCCACCATAAGGCGACTACATTCCGAGTGTGGGATTTGGGACCTTGTACTTGAGTTACAAAGGACTCACTGCACACGCTTCGGCTGGTTCCACAGAGAGAGGGAGAGAGAGAGAGAGAGGAATCCTACCAGGCGTGTGGCAACCCAGCGTTCATAACGACGTTGCTTTTTTGACGTGACTCTTCCTGTACGCCTGGATCTGGCACGTTTCTTGTGCTCGATGCAGGCGCACTGAAAAGGAATAAGGCTTTGGGAAGCCAACCAGAGAGAGCCCGTTCGTTTTGGAAACGGGCGGCTCTATTGGACCGCGCGCCTGAATGAGCTGCTAATCTTGCACCAGATACGTGCGCACGGGGCGAGGGGGAAATAAGCCCCTGTTGAGCTTGACTCTAGTTCAACTCTGTGAAATGACACAGAGGGGGAGGCTGCTCGTTTTGAAAACGAGTTGCCCCCTCACAAAAAGCAAAGGGGTACTAAGAAAAAAAAAGGGAGGAAAAAAAAAAGAGAATGTCGCGAAATTAATCGCGACGCAGGGCCAGATGCAGGAATAGAAACATCTATACTTTGAGATGACAGCAGTTCAACAGTCTGCTCTACTTGGCTCTATACAACCATTTAGGGCTGCATCTGGCCGAGGGTGGCGACCAGATGCATTACCAAGGCCTGGAACTTGGTTCCCCTAGGGGAACATCAAGTTTCTCAGCCCTTGATCTTGTCTGAGATCAAAGGTCAGGCCTCACTCCGAGTTTTGGTTGAGGGCAAAGCTGCTGCCCTCAGCCTCCAACCAGCTATAAAATAGCCAGCAGCCAGCCAACCAGCACTCATTTGTGGCTGGTGCTGCTAGCATTTTGCTTGGGTGAATGCTGGGTGTTGGAGGAGGAGTTGATGGTGGAGTGAGAGGGAGCCGAGTGGAGGTCTGCAAATGAGGAAGGAGGAGTGCTGGAGGTGGCCATAGCCGCCATCTTAGCGAGGGAAAGAGAGAGAAGTGTTGGAGATCTGTAGGGAGCGTAAAGTGAGAGCAGCCATAGTTGCCGCTGCATTTTGTGAAGCGTAGGGGAGGTGCTGTTCACTTGGCACTGCAACAACAATGTTTTTTAGGCGGTAGTACAGAAGCGCTGCCAGAATATTGCGGCAGCAACACTTAGTTGACGGCGGCAGTGCGGAAGCGCTGCCGATTTTTTGCGGCGCCGACACTGACATCTTAGCGGTGACGCGAAATCATTGCAGATTTTTGCGGCGGCGGCGCTGAGATTTTGGTGGTGGTGAGGAAGTGCTGCCGAATTTTCACGGCAACGACACTGGTTTTAATAGTAGTGGTGCGGAAGCGCTGCCGGTTTCTCACGTCGGAGGCGACATTATTCTTGCACATACTATATTAGGGGGCGA